TAATGAAGGAAAAAAGGTTAAGGGCAACCAGAAAGGACGGACAGGTTACCCACAAAAGGAAGCCCATCAGACCAACAGCAGATCTCTCGGCAGAAACCCTACAAGCCAGAAGAGAGTGGGGGCCAATATTCAACATTCATAAAGAAAAGAATTTTCAACCCAGAATTTCATATTCAGCTAAACTAAGCTACATAAGCAAAGGAAAAATAAAATCCTTTAGAGACAAGCAAATGCTGAGAGATTTTGTCACCACCTGCCCTGCCTTACAAGAGCTCCTGAAGGAAGCACTAAACATGGAAGGGAACAACTGGTACCAGCCGCTGCAAAAACATACCAAATTGTAAAGACCGTTGACACTATGAAGAAACTACATCAACTAATGGGCAAAACAACCAGCTAGCATCATAATGACAGGATCAAATTCACACATAACAATATTAACCTTAAATGTAAACAGGCTAAATGCCCCAGTTAAAAGACACAGACTGGCAAATTGGATAAAGAATCAAGACCCATCAGTGTACTGTATTCAGGAGACCCATCTCACTCGCAAAGACACACATAGGCTCAAAATAAAGGGATGGAGGAATATTTACCAAGCAAATGGGAAACAAAACAAAACAAAAAAAGCAGGGATTGCAATCCTAGCCTCTGATAAAACAGACTTTATACCAACAAAGATCAAAAGAGACAAAGAAGGGCATTACTTAATGGTAAAGGGATCAATGCAACAAGAAGAGCTAACTATCCTGAATACATATGCACCCAATACAGGAGCACCCAGATTCATAAAACAAGTTTCTTAGAGACCTACAAAGAAACTTAGATTCCCACACGATAGTAGTGGGAGACTTTAACACTCCAGTGTCAATATTAGACAGATCAATGAGACAGAACATTAACAAGGATATCCAGGACTTGAACTCAGCTCTGGATCAAGTGGACCTAACAGACATCTACAGAGCTCCCCACCCCAAATCAATAGAATATACCTTCTTCTCAGCACCACATCGCACCTACTCTAAAATTGACCACATAATTGGAAGTAAAACACTCCTGAGCAAATTCAAAAGAATGCAAATCATAACAAACAGCCTCTCAGAACATAGTGCAATCAAGTTAGACCTCAGGATTAAGAAACTCACTCAAAATCACACAACTACATGGAAACTGAACAATCTGCTCCTGAATGACTTACTGGGTAAATAACAAAATGAAGACAGAAATAAAGATGTTCTTTGAAACCAATGAGAACAAAGACACAATGTACCAGAATCTCTGAGACACATTTAAAGCAGTGTTTAGAGAGAAATTTATAACACTAAATGCCCACAAGAGAAATCAGGAAAGATCTAAAATCGACACCCTAACATCACAATGAAAAGAACTAGAGAAGCAAAAGCAAACAAATTCAAAAGCTAGCAGAAGACAAGAAATAATTAAGATCAGAGCAGAACTGAAGGAGACAGAGATATGAAAAACCCTTCAAAAAATCAGTGAATCCAGGAGCTTGTTTTTTGAAAAGATCAACAAAATAGATAGACCACTAGCCAGACTAATAAAGAACAAAAGAGAGAAGAATCAAATAGAGTAAAAAATGATAAAGGGGACATCAGTATTGATCCCACAGAAATACAAACTATCATCAGAGAAACACCTCTATGCAAATAAACTAGAAAATCTAGAAGAAATGGATAAATTAATGGACATATACAGCCTCCCAAGTCTAAACCAGGGAGAATTCAAATCTCTGAATGGACCAATAACAAGTTGTGAAATTGAGGCAGTAATTAATAGCTTACCAACAGGAAAAAGTCCAGGACCAGACAGATTCACAGCCAAATTCTACCAGAGGTACAAAGAGGAACTGGTACCATTCCTTCTGAAACTATTTCAAACAATAGAAAAAAGGGGAATCCTTCCTAACTTATTTTATGAGGCCAGCATCATCCTGATACCAAAACCTGGCAGAGACACGACAACAACAAAAAAGAAAATTTCAGGCCAGTATCCCTGATGGACATCGATGTGAAAATCCTCAATAAAATACTGGCAAACTGAATCCAGCAGCACATCAAAAAGCTTATCCACCATGATCAAGTCAGCTTCATCCCTGGGATGCAAGGCTGGTTCAACATATGCGAATCAATAAATGTAATCCATCACATAAACAGAACCACTGACAAAAACCACATGATTATCTCAATAGATGCAGAAAAGGCCTTTGACAAAACTCAACAGCCCTTCATGCTAAAAACTCTCAATAAACTAGGTATTGATGAAATGTATCTCAAAATAATAAGAGCTATTTATGACAAACCCACAGCTAATATCATTCTGAATGGGCAAAAACTGGAAGCATTTCCTTTGAAAACCAGCACAAGACAAGGATACCCTCTCTCACCACTCCTATTCAACACAGTGTTGGAAGTTGTGGCCAGGGCAATCAGGCAAGAGAAAGAAATAAAGGTATTCAAATAGGAAAAGAGGAAGTCAAGTTTTCTTCGTTTGTAGATGACATGATTGTATACTTAGAAAACCCTATTGTCTCAGCCCCAAATCTCCTCAAGCTGATTAGCAACTTCAGCAAAGTCTCAGGATACAAAATCAATGTGAAAAATCACAAGCATTCCTATACACTAATAACAGACAAACAGAGAGCCAAAGCATGAGAGAACTCCCATTCACAATTGCCACAAAAAGAATAAAATACCTAGGAATACAACTTACAAGGGATGTGAAGGACCTCTTCAAGGAGAACTAAAAACCACTGCTCAAGGAAATAAGAGAGGACACAAATAAATGGAAAAACATTCCATGTTCATGGATAGGAATAATCAATATCATGAAAATGGCCATACTGCCCAAAGTAATTTACAGATTCAATGCTCTCCCCATCAAGCTACCATTGACTTTCTTCACTGAATTGGAAAAAACTACTTTAAATTTCATATGGAACCAAAAAAGAGCCCACATAGCCAAGACAATCCTAAACAAAAAGAACAAAGCTGGAGGCATCATGCTACCTGACTTCAAACTATACTACAAGGCTACAGTAACCAAAACAGCACGGTACTGTTACCAAAACAAATATATAGACCAATGGGACAGAACAGAGGCCTCGGAAATAACACCACACATCTACAACCATCTGATCTTTGACAAACCTGACAAAAACAAGCAACGGGGAAAGGATTCTCTATTGAATGAACGGTGCTGGGAAAACTGACTAGCCATATGCAGAAAACTGAAACTGGACCCCTTCCTTACACCTTATACAAAAATTAACTCAAGATGGATTAAAGACTTAAATGTAAGAACTATAACTATAAAAATCCTAGAAGAAAACCTAGGCAATACCATTCAGGACATAGGCATGGTCAAAGACTTCATGACTAAAACACCAAAAGCAATGGCAACAAAAGCCAAAATTGGCAAATGGGATCTAATTAAACTAAAGAGCTTCTGCACAGCAAAAGAAACTATCATCAGAGTGAACAGGCAACCTACAGAATGGGAGAAAATTTTTGCAATCTATCCATCTGACAAAAGGCTAATATCCAGAATCTACAAAGAACTTAAATTTACAAAAAAAAAAAAAAACAACCTCATCAAAAAGTGGGCAAAGGATATGAACAGACACTTCTCAAAAGAAGATATTTATGCAGCCAACAACCATATGAAAAAAAGCTCATCATCACTGGTCATTAGAGAAATGCAAATCAAAACCGCAATGAGATACCATCTCATGCCAGTTAGAATGGCTATCATTAAAAAGTCAGGAAACAACAGATGCTGGAGAGGATGTGGAGAAATAGGAATGCTATTACACTGTTGGTGGGAGTGTAAATTAGTTCAACCATTGTGGAAGACAGTGTGGTGATTCCTCAAGTATCTAGAACCAGAAATACCATTTGACCCAGCAATCCCATTACTGAGTATATACCCAAAGGATTATAAATCATTCTACTATAAAGACACATGCACACGTATGTTTATTGTAGCACTGTTCACCATAGCAAAGACTTGGAACCAACCCAAATGTCCATCAATGATAGACTGGATAAAGAAAATGTGGCACATATACACCATGGAATACTATGCAGCCATAAAAACGATGAGTTCATGTCCTTTGCAGGGACATGGATGAAGTTGGAAACCATCATTCTCAGCAAACTAAAACAAGAACAGAAAACCAAACACTGTATGTTCTCACTCATAGGTGGAAGGTGAACAATGAGAACACATGGACAGAGGGAGGGGAACACCACACACCGGGGCCTACTAGGGGGTGGGGGGCTAGGCGAGAGATAGCATTAGGAGAAATACCTAATGTAGATGACAGGTTGATGGGTGCAGCAAACCACCATGGCACATGTATACCTGTGTAACAAACCTGTACGTTCTGCACATGTACCCCAGAACTCAAAGTATAATAATAGAAAAGAAAAACATTAAAAAAATTTTTTAAAAGTTTTTCTGTGTCAAATAATAGTGAGTTATAAAAATGTAATAGAAGACAACAGCTCATTTATAATAATATCTGAAAACATTATAAAATATCTAAGAACAAACTTAACATATATATTTTTAGAACTTTAAAATTTGACCAACGGGCATAAAAGTAGCCAAATAAAAAGTAGCAGTTATCTTGTAGAAAGATTCAATATTGTAATGATAAGAAAATTTTTAATAAACTTTGTATGATAGTGAATAAACTATCAAAAGGCTAGTTTACAACTGAAATTAACATCTGAGAAAAATCATGAAATTTCTGAAAAACCCTAAATGAAAAAGATGAACTCTACTAGCTATTTAAGAGTATTAATGATAGTATAAATTATCAATACTGCAGTACTGGGACAGTGATTTAGTTCATTATGGATACATGGAGAGCTATTTCAAAAAAATCATATATGAAAATAAATTCTAGACATATCTAAAATTTAAATGTAAAAAAATAGCCAGAACAATTTTAGAAGAGAATATTGTATTAATGTACTTACGACCTTTGAGTAGGGAAAGCCTTTTTTCTATGGTACAAAACCTAAAAGTCATAAAGGAAAAGACAGATCAATTTGACTAAATACATTTTAAAAGGTTTATATAAAGCAAAAATACCAAACACATGACCCCTCAACTGAATTCATTTTCAGTTTTCTTCTATGCTTTAATAACTTCACTTTCAATCTGTCATATAATCATGTTAAACATTTTTCCTGAAATCACAGTAAAGGTTCTGTTTTAGCAGTTCGTTATCCAATATCAGTCCAGATTCAGGAATCAGGTGACAGTCAACTTAAACTGAAATGTGTGCATTATTGAATTCTGTGAAATAACAAAGATAATGGGTTTGGTTTTGTTTTTGTTTTTGTTTTTTGAGAGGGGGGTCTCCCTCAGTCACCCAGGCTGGAATGCAGCGGCATGATCTCAGCTCACTGCAACCTCCGTCTCCCAGGCTCAGGTAATTCTCCCACCTCAGTCCCCCAAGTACCTGGAACCACAGGCAAGCACCACCACACCTGGATAATTTTTGTATTTTTTGTAGAGACGGGGTTTTACCATGCTGCCCCGCTACAGAACTCCAGAGTTCAAGCAATCCACCTTCCTCAGACTACCAAAGTGCTGGGATTACAGGCATTAGTCACAATGTGTTTTTATTCTGTTTTTGTTTGTTCTTTGAGACAGGGTCTCACTCTGATGCCCAGGATGGAGTGCAGTGGTGCAAACACAGCTCACCGCATCCTCTATCTGCCAAGCTCAAGTGATCCTCCCACCTCAGCCACCTGAGTAGCTGACACTACAGGCACAGACCACCATGCCTGGCTAATTTATTTTATTTTATTTTACTTTTTTCTGTTTTATTTTTTTGCGTTTTTTTGTTTTGTTTTGTTTGATACAGAGTCTGGCTCTGTCGCCCAGGCTGGAGTGCAGTGGCACCATCTCGGCTCACTGCAAGCTCCACCTCCTGGGTACATGCCATCCTCCTGCCTCAGCCTCCCGAGTAGCTGGGACTACAGGCACCTGCCACCACACTCGGCTAATTTTTTGTATTATTAGTAGAGATGGGGTTTCACCATATTGGGCTGGCTGGTCTCAAACTCCTGACCTTGTAATCCTCCCACCTCGGCCTCCTAAAGTGCTGGGATTACAGACGTGCGCCACTGCGCCCTGCCCATGCCTGGCTAATTTTTAAAATTTTTTGTAGAGATGGGGTCTCACCATGTTGCCCAGGCTGGTCTCAAACTCCTGAAGTCAAGCAATCCTCCCACCTTGGCCTCCCAAAGTGCTGGGATTACAGGCGTGAGCCACCACACCCAGCAGATGTTTTAAAATACAAATTATATGTCACAGTAAATACTTTGTTTATCATCTCATGGAATCCCAACAAATCTGTGAAATAACTACTAGTGTACTTATTTTACAGTTTAAGAAATTGAGGGTTGGAGAGGTTAAGTTACAGACGTAGTTGTTAAATGGCAGAGTAAAGACTTGAACTTGGGTTTGTTTGTGAATAAAATATGTTTTCTCAATGACCTCATTGCACTGCCATTAATAAAATGGAAGGCTTAATAAGCATAAGACAAGATACCTCTTTTTTCCCCCCCTTTCTAAATGAAAAGCAAACTTCACTACCTACAGAAACGCACATTTATCCATTCAAAAACTTTTACCAAATACCTACTACTTGCCAGGTAGATGATCTGGAAGCCGGTTATTCATCAGTCAATAAATCTAAGTGTCAAAGTGTCTGCCTTCAATGGAGGAAACAAGCAGCACAAAACCAATGAATAAGCATATGACATGTCAGATGGCAATACATGCTCTGAAAAATATAAAAAGGCCTTTAAAGAGAATAGAGAGTGTTGGAGAGGTTATGTTCCTAAACAGCAGGGGTTGGAAAAGCCTTTTGCCTGTAAAGGGCCAGGGTTCTCTGTTAGAAACTGCAATCAAGGAAGGCTTCTGTGTTAAGGGGACATTTAAGTAGATACCTGAGGCAGGTTAGGGAGCCAAGTTGATATTTAGGAAGAAAGTAGCAAGCAGGGGGCCAGAGTCAGAGAGGTGGAAAATGGGGTCAGAGAAACAGGAGAGCCCAGTACATGTGGGGAAATCATCCATCTACCACGCGTGAACAAAATACATTTTGGTGCCATTGTCTACGAGACAGCACTGAGCAGACCTTTGAACAGAAGGGCATTATATGCTCTTGTGTTCTCAGTACAGAGCTGCACAATAGGACTGCAGACTGGAATCACACAGGCCTGCTGTACTCAAAGACAAAGATACACTTGGTCCTTGGGAAATGGGAAGCCGGAAGAAGTTTATGATTAACTTACACATCTGCTTGATAAGCTCTCCCATTATTGCTTTTATCAAGCAGAGAAGACTAAACATTTGAAATGATCAATTAGCTTAATTATAACTTGGAGCTTTGTTCCCTATCGTGAAATGCATTCTCACCGCCCTGGCTAGATGATGTGCATGAGATTCACATGTGGTGTTGTTGCCATGATTTTGGTTTAGAACTGCTCTGATTCCCCTCCTTGTGAATTTCTGCTAAAATTCAACATGCTTAATTCTCAATACCTTGCATGCATTGGAGGAAGCAGCATTGTGGAATCTATGCATAAAATTTACTTTTAATTCTGTTTAGCTGTTGTTAGATGTCTGTGAAAGTTTGGGATTAGAATCCAAGTCTGGTCAAAATCAATGTCGAAACATGCTTTTTGCCAAGAAAGAGTGAGGGATTAGGAAGGTAACCTTTAAAAGGGAAATTTGTTTTGAACTGGAGTTGAGTTATTATGCTAAAAATTATATTCTTAAACAGCAGTGTCTGGAGAGCTTTTTTTTTTTCCTTGAAACAGTTACATAGTGAATATATTTAAGCTTCATAGGCCATACAAGTCTCTCTCCTAACTGCACAACTCGGCATACAAGTAGTTATCGACAATATGCAAATGAACAAGCATGGCTTATGAATAAGCATGGCTTGTAAATAAGACTTTATTTACAAATGAAGTCTTATTTGTAAATAAAACTTTATTTACGGAACAGGTAGCAAACCAGATTTGACCCAAACGATGTAGCTTGCCGAACTCCTCCTATAGGAGTAATTTGGTTATTTATTTCTACAAGTGCTTAAGAAAACAGGTAGGGAGGCAGAAAAGCAGCAGAGTTTGTTTCTTTGAACTCCTATTCATAAATATCCAAATTAAATGTAATTGTCAAAAAACCCCCAGCTGACTAAAATAAATACCAAATAGAAATAATAAGAGTGGCTTAGTACAGATTACCTGTATGGTCTTAATATGATGTGAAATATATTGATGCCTGAACATGGCAGGGACCAGCTGCTTTTCGAATAGGACATTTACAGCTGTCTTATTAAGAGGTGTTTCTTACATAAGATTCCATTTGAAAATGGAAAGGAATTGTATAAATCAATTAACATATTAGCTAAGTTGTCTAACACATGGTATAAAGGAATTACAACAGTAAACTATTATACATGTCCAAAAAAAAAAAAAAAAAACAAGGTGTTTCTGATCAGTCATATTCCCCTTCCCTCCTTCTTTGTTGTGTGTGCAATCTGATTAACATTTTCAGGAGTTGCTGTGACACTTCTAAATAGTGCAGAGTTTCCTGCCTGGGGCAGGAGAAACTTGCCAGCTCTCACTGGGCTCCGGCTGACTGTCTCTCCATCCCTGGTGTGCCAGCCTCCCTCGGGCATTGCAAAACCTCTCCACACAGCATCCGCAGCACAAACAGGGTTCTGTGGCTGGCCCAGATTTCCAGGAGCATCCTCCTCGAAAGAGAGACAGGAGATGGAGACAGGGCTGCTTCATATATCTGCCCAAGTCAATTATGAATTCCCAGAAAATCAAGGTCATGTGGTCATGTCTTTCCTCTATCTTTTAAGAGACTAACACGAACCTGTCGACATAGAGGTTGCTTTATGAATGCTGATTGAAGAGAGATGCTGAGACACTGCTGGCATTTGCCTGTTGGTCACTCAGGGGCCATGTGAGGTCCCAGTATCAGCACCCTTCTCTGTCCCCTCTCCCACCTCCTCACGCAACCCCTCACATGCCAGCCGGGGACTAAGCCCAAAGATCAGAGACTTTAATATATCTTGGAGAATCTCAGAATTTTGCTTTTTGGACATATGCAGATGAATTTTATAATTCATTAGCATTAATTCAGAACCAGTGGGTCCCTATTAACTATCATTGATGGTAGAAGAGCCAAAAATTGAAATGGGAGAAATGTGGTTGGTGGAGTCTTTAAATGTCACATGCCCACTGTTCCTCTTCACCAGTGGTCTTAAAATATATATATATATATATAGTAATAAACTGCTCTTGGAAAAAGGCATTGGTTCCCCTGTGTGTTGGTTGATCCGTTATCAACTCAGCACTGCTGCCACTCTAAGTCTGGCAACCAGGTTTTGTGAATTTTCTTCCCAGCATGGATCCAGGTTAGAATTTGCCACTGAAAGAAACTCACTGGAGATTTGGAATGCAGAAATGGCGCAGAAACCGTTATTATTTTCCAGAGGTGGTTGCAGACAGATGTGGAAGCAGAAGGGAGATTCCCAGTGGTTCCCAAAGAACTCTAAGAACCACCTGCTTCGCCTCAGCAGATTGAGGTAGTTTATGAAGTGTCTCTAAGATTCTTGAGAATTGCAGCCATTTCCACGAGCATTTGAGAGCATCCTGCTCCGGTGTCCTGGCTGAGATCACCACCATCATCAACCCTGGTCTCCAGCAAGCAGCTGCCCTTACCTCTGCATCCCCAGCTCTTCCATGAAAACTCTCAATTCTGTGCTAAATGCTTTATGTCTGGAATACATAGAGTGACTTCTGTGTTTAGGACAACATCCTGTATCGCATGGGTAAAGGATAGATTCGCACACACTAAATAAACATCACCTCAGCATTGACTTTCCTTTTGGAAATCAATAGGTATTAAGGAGACCATCCATTCATGAAATTAAGTACTGTTTTCCACTGAACCCGAGGTGCTATTGATTAAGACACAAAAGTA